GGCCAAGAAGGCCAACGGCACCCCGGCGTGTGTCAGCAGCAGGAGGTGAGCGGCCCTCCGCACTGCCGCTGGTGAGGCCGCACCTCCAGTGCTGCGCTCAGCGCTGGGCCCTCACTGCAAGAAAGACACCGAGGGCTGCAGCGTGTCCAGAGAAGGGCAGCGGGGCTGTGAGGGGTCTGGAGCACCAGTGTGATGGGGAGCGGCTGAGGAACCGGGGCTGTTCGGTGTGGAGAAGAGGAGGCTCAGGGCAGACCTATGGATCTGCAACCACCTGAAAGGAGGCTGTGTGAGGCAGGGTCGGCCTCTGCTGGCAGGGAACGGCCATAGGACGAGAGGGGATGGCCTCACGTTGTGCCAGGGGAGGTTCGGGTTGGCTGCTAGGAAACATTTATTCTCTGAAAGAGCAGTGAGACAGTGGCATAGGCTGTCCAGGAGGGTGGTGGTGTCACCATCCCTGGAGGTGTTCAAGAAACAGGAAGATGTGTTACTGAGGGACATGGTCAGTGGGCACGGAGGGGATGGGTTGGCAACTGGACTGGATGATCATTTAGCAGCCTTTTCCACTTTTTGATTCCATGGTTCTATGATCTGCAGTCTGTCCTCTGAATTAAACTGATGATATTTTGCTCTGCCAAATAACACATTTCTGCATCCCAAGGGCTGTTTGGATTCTCCCAAACCAGCAATCCCAAACTACTGACTCCAAAGCAGATGCCCAGGAAACAGTAAGGGTCACATTTTAAACCCAATCTGCCCCCCAGGCTTCCCACAGTGTGAACTCAGCACCAGGACAGAACAAGCCAGACAACTCTTGCGGGACACCACATGCCAGATGGACATTCCACTTCTGCTGGCCCACAACAACCCAACACATCGGGCACCCCCGAGCCACGGCAGCTCCTCTCTGACGAGAGCCTCGGGCAGGATCAGCCTCCGCTCAGTGGGGCCCCAGGAGAGGCTCCACGCCGACGATGGCAGAGCCAACGGCCCCGCCAGGCCCCGCTCCCCGAGCCCCCGCCCTACCGAAGGAGCGGCGCCCTCGGCGGCAGCCCCCACCTGCGTCGTGCGAAGCCAGAGCCCTCAGCATCTCGCCGGCGCCGCGGCAGATCGCCTTCTCCTCGTGGCACAGCATCTCCGTCAGCAGCTCGAGGGCTCCCGTCTCCTCGAAGGCGCCCGCCAGCGCGCCGATGCCGGCGTACGCGCTCAGCACGCGGACGGTGTGGAGGACGGAGGACGCGGGGGCCCCGCCGCCGGCCAGCTGCCGGCCGGCTCGCCGCACCAGGCTCCCGACGTCGGCCTTCATCTCCAGCAGCGACGCCTCGTCCGGCGCCGCGGGCGGCGGGCCGGGCGCCCTCTCCTCCTCCGCCCGCGGCCCCGCCCGCTGCCCCTCGCCCAGCAGCGCCGGGCAGCCGGCGCGGACCTCCTCCGCCGACAGCCACATGGCCACGCTCTCCGAGCGGAGCCCCGTGGAGGAGCCGCCGCCGCCGCCCGCCGCCCGCTCCTCCGCGCCGACCACGCGCCACCGCACCAGGTACTCCGGGGCGCCGTCGGGGCCGCGCCGCTGCCGCAGCAGCTCCTGCGGGTAGGCCTGCAGCTGGGGGCCCAGCTGCACCAGCAGCCCGCCCTCGCGCCTCTCGTTCACCATGCTGCCGGACGGCGCTGCGGGAACAGAAGGGAGCAGGTTAGCATCTCTGAGCTACGTGTAGGCAAGCCGTGAGCCGGCACCTCGGTTCCTCACCAGTCGAAGCCGCCAAGGTGCAAGTTTTAAATTTTGAGATTCTGAAGCAAGAATAAAGCTCTGAAGGAAACCCCATCTTGCAGAAGTTCACGATCTCACTTCAAGACGATGAGCCTGTTTCTTGTACTAGCCCTGTCCCCAGAATTACTGGTACACACAGAAAGCAGCTCTCCTCACAAAATCCCCAAGGGAAAACATTCTTGTTCAGGCCCTCTCGTAACACAGAACACGATCTTATGTCTGATCTAGGGGGTGGCAGCCCTGCCCGTGACAGGTCGTTGGAACAAGATGATCTTTAAGATCCCTTCCAACCCAAGCCATTTTACGACTCCATGGCTGAAAACAAAAACTGGAGAGCTGGGCCCTGTTTTCACCCCTGACCACAACCCGACCCTGCAGAAGTCGCTGCTTCTGCACTTGTTATTCTGTGTCTGTGTCTGAGCGCAGATTGCAAGGTCATGCAGACTCAAGGCTTCAGGCAGACGCTGCCTCCCACTGTGGCATTGGAACCAACAGGAGTCACCAGTCCTTGAGGAAAATAACCAGCTGTTTCTCAGCTCGTGCTCATCACTATCTAAAAGCCACTCCTCCCTGGTCACTATTTCCTCTTCTCGGGTATAAATTTGCCTTTAAAACATTCAGTTGCTAGGCAGATCCACCAGCCATGCTGCCTGATTGTTCTACACATCTCTGAGCTACATAAGTCACAACACCTCACTATCATCCAGGCAAAGAAGAGCATGAAGCAATTTTCTATTTAAGACCGAGTGCCAGCAATCAGCCAAGTAAAGGACCGACTTCATCACCGCAGAGAAAGCTGGATCGGCCTGATAAGAACAGAGGGTTCTCCCAGAGCCCAGGCAGCTTGTGCTGCGAATGCAGAGATGGGCTCTCTTGGATCACTGACATGTCCAGGCATGAGAGCGGTGAAGCAGCACCCTGTACAGCTGATGGTCACACACGTCATCCTTGAAAATAAATACATTAAATATATACACGCCTATACCTTCAGTTGTCCTTTCCCGGCAGGTCGCAGCAATCCAGCGGCGCCCAGCTGCTGTCCTCGCGGTCTCCCGGTAACAAAGGGCCGAGTTGCCCTCCCGCGCGCAGCACGGCAGCCTCCCCACGAGCCGAACGGCTCTTCTCCCGCACGGCGCACGCAGGCACTCCCTGCCCGCAGGTTCACGGCACCGCGCCGCACACGCTTCCCTCGCTCGCCCCTGCCCTCCACGGAGCAGCCGCGACGCCTCCAGGCCGCTCCGCTCACCCCGCGGCCTAGCTCCGCCTCCGGGCCTCCCCGCTCGCCTCCGCCCGCCGCTCCAGCTCCGGGCCCGGCCCCGCGTCCGGCCGACAGCACGGGGCCGGCCCACAGCCGCCGCCGCGCCCGTTTCCGCGTCCGGCCACGCGAGGCGCCTGCGCGCTGCCGCCGGGCGGGGCGGGGACGGCGCCGCCTGCAGCCGCGCCCGAGCGTGCGCCTGGCGGGCCTGTGCGGGAGCGGCGCTCGGGGTGGCGGCGTAGAGTCCGTGCGGCAGAGGCCTGGCGAGGGAGGGGCGGGCTCCCCTTTCTCCGCCTGCTGCCAATGCTGTGCCTGGAAAGGCCGGCGGAGCGTTAGCCTTCCTCGCAGCCGGAGCATGGTGCTGGCTCCCGGTCAGCTTGGATCCCACCGGGACCCCCCGGTCTTTCTCAACCAGACCGCAGTGTGTGCCGGCACGTTGCTCCTCCCCAGAGGCAGGAGTTTGCACTTGTTGAACTTCATTTCTACAGACTACTCGAGTTCCCCCGTTCGGCAGCGCCCACTCCTGCCAGCGTTGGCACGCTGCCCCATCACCCACACCGTTAGTGAAGGTACTGACCAGAACCGGTCTCATCCCCTGCGTTCACCGTTGCTGGCCTCCAATTAGATTTTTGCCACTGATCACTGCCCTCTGGGCTTCCAGTTCGCTTCGCTGTCCGCCTATCCAGCCCATATATCAACAGCTTCTCTAAAAGGATCTTGTGGGAGACAGGGTCAAAAGCCTTACTGAAGTCCAGGTGGTCAATATACTGCTCTGTCCTCACCTACCAAGCTAATCACTTTACCACAGAAGTGTTTCAAGTTAGTCATTACTTCCTCTTTTTGAATCCATGCTGACAGCTCCCAGTCACCTTCTTGTCCACCATATAGTTTCCAGTGCAAGTTGCTCCATCGCCTTGTGGTCAATATCAATCTTCTTGGCCTGTAATTCTCCCAGTTCTCCTTCTTGAAGACAACCTTTGGGCACTTCTCTCACTCACCAGCTCAAGCTGCCCAGGGCCCATCCAACCTGGCCTTGGGCACCTCCAGGGATGGGGTACCCACAGCTCTCCAGGAAATTTGTTCCATCATCTCACTGCCTCTGAGTAAACAATTACCTCCTAACACCTAACCTCAATCTCCCCTCTTTAAAGCTATTTTCCGTTGTCCTATCACTATCAGACCCTATGAGAAGGTGCTCTCCCTCCTACTTATAAGATCTCATGTACTGGAAGGCTGCAATGAGGTCTCCCCACAGCCTTGTCTTCTCCAGGCTGAACAAGCCCACCTCCCTCAGCCTTTCTACATAAGGAGAGGTGCTTCAGCTGTCTGAGCATCTTTGGGCCATGCTCTGGACCCACTCCAACAGCTCCACATCCTTCTTGTGCCAGGGAGTTCAGGCCTGGACACAGTGCTCCAAGTGGGGCTTCATGAGGGCAGAGCAGAGGAGAACAATCACCTCCCTGCCCTACCTGACATTAAATTAAAGGCTAAACTGCTGAGAATTTGCTTTCTTATTTGATCCTGAAGCAACTATGTGGATGTGCCCAATCTCATTCCTACCCCTGGTACTCATGAAACTGAAGAGGCAATTTGCCTTTATGAGTCCCTTCATCTCCTGTAGAGATAAGTACAGAATATTTGCACTGATCAAGGGAAAACATTGTTCCTAACTGCCACAAAAGACCATGAAGACTGGCAGCACATGCACAACCACCCCTATTTCTGTTCTCAGCAGCTGACATTCCATGCACGTGCTGCACCTGCAACATCATTGTGCTTATTGGCACACGCATGAGGTGCTGCTAATGCTTTGCCATGGAAACACAGCTGTTGCACTAAGAGCGAGGACACTGCTGTCCCTGCACCACTGATGCTCACCACACACCCTTCTTCCTTTGATTTCTGCCCCATCTCGTCCCTATCCATTGACAATGGTTTTTGTTCCCTAAAGTTTCTCCACCTGCAAAGCACAGACAAGACGCCAGCTCTGTGCACAAAATGATAACATTTATTGAAAGAGTAATTTTTTTTTTTTTTTCCATACAAAAGAAAGCTCTGTACATAGTACTGTGATTACTTCCACATCCTTCCAGAAACACAACCCTGGAAACTGGAGGGGAAAAAAAAAATCCCACACACACCTATGCACACACACACACCCGCACACATGCACGCACGCACACACACAACCCTCAAACCAGTAAAATGAATTAAAAATGTCACCACACAATAAATGCCATTTCGTCCCTGATACACGAGTGTTCTTACAAGTCTGCACTTAAATAAAAGACACCATTAGCGTTTAACCAGCAGTTGCCTTTGGGGAGGCAGGGAGGAGATGCCCAGCAGCAGCACTGCCATCACAGCCCCGCAGGGCCAGCACGAGCAAAGCAGAGCAAAGCACGGCCCGATGACGGCCTTGGGTCAAGGTTAACGCACACCCCAAGCTCTCCGCACAGGTCATGGAAGGAACTCATCCACATCTGTGCACTAAAAAACAGCACAAGCTGAGGCTGCGGAGAGGGAAACTCCAGCCCAGACCCTCAGATGGGAGTTCAGGAGGTGCCGCCTGCACTACGGGCAGGGAGAGCGGAGATCGGCTGCTGCCAGCCCCTCATCCCCCAGGGAGGGCTGGGGACAGCCCAGCACAGCACAGTTAAACGCTAATGCGGAGGGAACATGTCCAAGGTTACAATACAAACTCAAAAGCAAGGCCCCTTCCTGCCTCCACACCCACCCACCCCTCTCCCATCCCCCCGGTACAAACCCCATGAAAACTGTACAGGAGCCAAACTTTTATTCCTTAAAGTATTACATAAATACTGAGTTTAACACTTAGAAAAATAAAGTCATTTTCTTTTTTTTTTTTTTTTTCTTTTTTTTTTTTTTCCTCTTTTTTCCCCCCCAAGGCTTCTTTTGTCTTTAACTTAAAAAAAGAAGTTACAGTAGCTGCTCCTCTCCCTAAGGATGCAGCAGCTCCTTGCTCGCTCTCCCTGCAGGGCCAGGGAGCAGCTCCCATGCAGGACCAAGCACACTCCAGTCCTTCTCCCGTGGCCCTGCTGAGGCTCCTCCAGCCCCGGTGCTCCCAGGAGGAGCATGCTGCCCACCAGCAGCTCAGTGCCCCACGGACTCTTCCCTTTGGCACTGGAGTTGCTTCTCCACCTTGCATCAGAAAATTTAGAAAGCGGTGGCTGGAGCTGCAGCAGAGGGATGCGGAAAAGATCCAGTCACGTCCCTCCTTGGGCATATGGAGTCCACAAGCAGCACGAGGGCCGAGATGGGAGCACTGGACTGAGCTGGCAGCAAAGCCCCCCCTCTCCCCTAGGGCCTTGCTGAACTGCTGGGCACCCGCTGTGTGCTGCAGCTGCCAACCCACCAGGCAGCCCAGCAAGGAGGCACTGAGGGCGGAGGCCTTGCTGTAGTGCACGTGAGGAGGCTGGGGCCATACACCAGACCCAACCAGAGATGCACGTCCAAGTAGGCCGCTTGCTCCCTGCAGAGGCCAGGGAGAGCTGCCGCAGCCGGGACCCATCCCCCCCACAAAGGCACATTGCTGAGGCCTGTGCAGCTCTGCAGGACAGCTCCAGGCCCCAGCCCCACACAAACACCCACAGACAGGGTGAGCACCCCTAAGGGCCTCCAGCTGGGGAAGGCCCCCAGGATTTATGTACAGCACGGAGCACACCCTCCCCTCAAGAGACAAGCTTCTTTGGCTGGCGAGAGACGAGCATCCCAACGGCCCCCAGCCCTGCACGGCCTCAGCGCAGCTTCTCCCCAGGCGGGTCCTGCAGCCCCTTGCATGCTGTGTGTGTGGGTGGGTGCGTGTGTGTGTGCATGTGTGGATGAAGGAAACGTGAAAAGGCAACAATAAATAACTGGTGCAGTCTGTACGAGAGTTGCTGCCAGCCCCAGCACGACAAGCCAGGGACGGCACAAGGCCAGCAGCAGAGGCCTCTCAGTCACTCTTGGCGTTGTGCGAGGTGTCCAAGTTGACCACCTGCAGCTCCGTCAGGCTGCTGCCGCTGCTGCTCTGCTGCCCAATGACAGCCATCTAGAGAGAGAAGGGAGGAGCTGAGGGACAGCATGCCCTTAAGACTGCTTCCACCAGCAAGCCAGCATCCCTCACCCAAGAGGGCAAGAACTCCTTGCCCACGTGTAGGTGGCACAAATAGCTCCCCCAGCTCTCCGAGACCTGAGGACTGGTCCTACTCAAGTGCCCAGGCCCATAAAGGATGTCCAGGCAGAGCAGGACCAGCATCGCCCCAGAGGAAAAACAGTGACAGCCCCCACCACATCTGCAGGCACTGCTCTGCACCTACCTGGTGAAGCTGGACAGCTGAGACTGGGATCTGAACGGTGCCTGATGGGGCTGTCAAGAATACCTGGGGGACGCCACCTGCCACAGCGGGAATGACACAAATGACATCGTTTTCCAGATGCTGGGAGCCCAGCATAAGCCTTCAATCCACATCCTGCATGCGTGCCTTCATACTGTTTTGGCCCCTCATGCACCTACGCTTCTTCTCCAGTCTTCCTGGCTCCCCCCACCTGCCACTGCCTGCCCCATTTCCACGCTCCCCACACCAGCAACTTTCATCCTCTCCCCCAGCAAATGGCTCAAGGAATCCTTTACGCAGGAGAGGAGCTGGTTCTAAAAAGCACAGACCCTTGCTGGGTCTTTTTGACAGACATGACGGCTTAAAAGAAAACCCCGAGGGATCAATATGTAGCAAAAAAAAACACATGCAAAAATGAGAGCCCCCCAGAAAAGCACCAACCCAGACTTACTCTGATCCTGGACCTGGCTGTGGGACACCTGCATTGCTGAGGGTGCCTGCGAGAAAGCATTGAGGACTGCAAGTCCACCATCCGCAAGGCCAGAGGTGGGCGCGTACATCACCGCGTGCGGGCTGGGGTACATCATGTGGCCACCCACGGTGGTTGGCACAGACGACGTCATGATGGTCGCTGGGAGGGTCACTGGCAGCAGGACAAACGACACGTGAGCCACACTGCAGGAGCCTGCCACGCTCCCTCAGCCCCCACACAGGCAAGCAGCAGACACGTGGAGGTACCCACATTGTTCTCCCAAGAAACACAGGGAACAAGCAAGAGGGTTTTGATCAGTGAGAACTGAGGGCAAGGCAGCCTTGTAGCCAAGCATCCCAAGACTGAACTCAAACCATGTCACAGGTTTCCTGATGAAGCTGATTAAGCTGTTGAACTGGGTTCAATCTGCACCCAGGCACTTTTTTTTTTTTTTTGGTAGCAAAAAAAAAGGTGCCTCTGTACGTACAAAGTCTCAAGAACATGCAAACTAATGCCTTGTACAAGGGGCAATGCTGGATCAGTAAGAAACCATCTGAGAACTAGGGAGAGCCTGGCAACATGCTCCCAGCTCCATGTTGCAGGATAAGGATGAGAGGTGATGACCTGAAGTTGCACCAGGATAGGTTCACGTTGTTTCTTAGTAAACATTTCTTCTCTGAAAGAGCACTGAGACAGTGCCACAGCTGCCCAAGGAGTGATGGGCTCACCATCCCTGGAGGTGTCCCACAGCTGTGGGGTTGTGGCACTGAGGGACTTGGTTGGTAGGCATGGTGGGGATGGCTTGATGGTTGGACTTGGAGACCTTAAGGGTCTCCTCCATCCTTAATGATTCCATGAAAAGCAAGTAACGCACCAAGAGAGGCTCCGAAATCTGCTGAGGTACTCTGCACAGCAGCACCTACCTAGAAGCAGCACAGCATGGGAGCTGGTAATAGGGATAAATAAATCTGGGAACTGTCAGCTTGGTTGGGATAGCTGGACTGAACGATGCTGGGCCAGGAGCAGGGGTGAGTCAGTATCAACAGTGCTTAGGAAGGAAGAGAGAACACAGTTATCATAAAGTCCCTATTACCTGTTCCACTGGGAGAGGTCTGAGTAAGGTCAGTGCTGCTGTCACTGGAGGGAGACGTTTGCTGCGGTGCCTGGTGCACCTGGATCGCCTGGACAGGAACTTGCTGAGCCATGGTGCCACCTGGGGAGAGAAGGGAGCCTTCAGTCTGTCAGTCCTCATCCCTCTCTGGCCATGCACAGCTCCACACATGGCCCATCACACTGCTGGCACACAAGGGCCAAGGAGGGGTCAGGTGGCCTGCAGGGCACTGGAGGGAAAAGGAAATGCCACAGCAGCTTCTGTCCAACATCTAGGTATAGTTCAGGGATGTCAGTGGCCTTCATTACCATTCCTGGCTCCACAAGGACACAGCACAGAAGATGCTGGGAGGAGAGGGCCCCAGCACAGCCCATTGCTCAAGCAGCCCCACAAAGCCAGGCTCACAGCGTTAACCAGAACAGCAAGAGCCCACCTTCCAGCAGGGTCTTCACCCTCCAAAGCCTAGCGTCATTCTCCGCAGGGCACTCAGGAACAAGCACCCCAAAGACACTGCAGTGCCTTGCACAGGAACAAGAGCACAGCTGCCCCAGCATGCAGCCCAGAGCTGCACAGGCACAGCCACACAGCCTCTGGACCAGCCTGCTCACCACACAGCTCTCAGCATGGCTATGCAGACACTGAGCAGGACACGAAGCTCCCCCTCAGGCTCATGTTTTGCCTCCAGAGGGAACAGCAAGTGATGCCAGACAGAAACCACAGGTCGGGCATCTCCCCACACACTGCACCAGAAGCCACAGGTTGGGTATCTCCCTACACAATGCACCAGAAACACAGAATCACTGATTATTCTCTTGGCTCCTCCAGACCAGAAGGGAAATATGGTCCCCTTGCGTGGGCCTGCAGGAGCTGTAAGAGGCCATCAGACTTAGCAGCATGGAAACAAGCAAGCACAACACAAGAATACCGTCTCGCCCTCAGTGCTGGTACCAAGGAGACGATACCCCAACCCTAGCACAGCACTCAGAGAGCCCTCCAGTTGGTACAATAAGAGATTCCTGCCAAGGACAATGCCCACACAGCAACACCTCTGCCTCTTTCATCACCAATCTTCTGCACCGTGGCTCAGCAGCCAACTACAGATCTAAGCATGACAGTTGCTTAGAATCAAACACTAGCACTCAAAACCACATCCGTAGGGTATCTTAGCACCATAGTCTCCCTCCTTCCACCACTCCCCCCAGCTCCCAGCTGGGGTCAGCTCCCTGAGCAAGGACAGGGACCCTGCAAGAGCCTCCGTTCACCCCCCAGTCTAAAATGAATGCAGCAGAAGCAAGTGCTGACCTGTCAGCGACACGATCTGCCCTCCAGCTCTGGCAGGGAAGCGGAAGACCGTGTGCTGTGCCTGATGTAGCTGTCCAGCTGTACCCGCGACCGCCTGGCCCTGCTGGCTGGAAAGAGCCAGCAAGTGCGGCTGTAAATGAGGGAGAGGAATGGCAGGGGTCCCCAGAGACAGGGAAGCACCTGCCAAAAGGAGGGAGAAAAAAAGGCTTCATCACCATCAGCTCTTTTTGCTCCCTCCAGGCTTCTCAGTGCTGCCCTGGGGTACCGCTGCTCAGCTCCCTGCTACCACACCCTTCCCAGCAGCAGGGCCCTAAAGGAACTGTCACCGCTCAAGCAAAGCGTCCCAGCCACGATCATCCTAAAGCAGCAACCACTGCCTGCCTCCACCTGCAGCCAGGTCTCCCATTCTCAACATGTTTCGAGTGCAGAGACGGACAGATGGACACGGCGCTCAGCACCGAGCAGCACTGACCTGACATGAGGGTGAAGCCGGTGGGTATCTGCATGAGGCCCCCGGATGTCACTGCACTGGCTCCAGTAGTCTTCAGCACTGTCCCGTTGGCACTGGTGACGGCACTGGGGCTGATGCTGGCAGACACTGGCGCCAGGTAATTCGTGATGGGGAACGAGGGGCCGCTGCTGACCTGCATGGAGGACGAGGTGGTAGGTGCCGTCTGGATGGTGGACGTTGTCCCTGGCAGGTTGGTGACAGTGAAGGTCGGTTTCAGCACGTCCTGGGGAATGAGAAGGGGTGACAGCTCAGGCTCTGCGGGCTGTACCCCCATGCTGCCAAGGAAGGGTTAAGACGGGCACGCTCGCAGCCCTCCCGCAGCACGGCAGGCCCAGCGCTCCCACGTGCTGCGCCTTGTTCCCGGCTTGTCAGGCTGCCAGCAGCCAGGAATTCACAGCTCTCCGAACAGCTAAAAAAGGGAAGGCAGCCCATTTTAGACAGGGGGGAGCCAATCCTGGGCACTCGGCCCTGCCCCAGGGCCCGTCGAGGGAGGAGAGCAGAGCCCCTCTGCCTTGGCACTGCGGTCCCCCCACGTCCAAATTAGAAGAGGCACGTGATCACGGCGCGGCGCCCAGCGCAGGCACTTTCCATTAGCTCAGCCACAGCCCCCCGCAACGTGGGAGCCACAGGCACACTCCCACCTGGGCCATGAAGCCCACTTGGCTGTGTGAGCCACAGCACAGTGGGCTCACTTCCAGCTGGAACAGCCCAGCTCCCTCATCCTCACACACAGCTCTGCACGCCCAAGGGCCTGTAACATCTCCACACTACATCCTCTGGGGCATGGGAAAGGCAGCCTGAGAGATGCACACAGAGCACCCCAGGACTCCCTTAAAACAAGAGGGCAAGCCATAGTACAAACAGAAAAACAAAGGGGCTCCAACCACACACACCCAACTCTGTCCTCCCCAGCCTGCCATCTCCAACTTGCCACTCCTAGGTTGCAGTGACAGCACGGAGAACTGGGTTGGACGCCCGCTCCTCCCACCTGTCTGGGATGCTCCTGAGCCCCTGGGCACCCTGACCCACCCCAGCATCCCACTGAGCTCAGTCTGCATGCAGGAGCCAAGCGATGAGCCACTCTCAGCAAGCGTACCCTATGAACCACAGATTTAGGATAATCCTGTACATTCTGGCCCAGGTGCTACACAGAAGGGATCCCAGCCTGCACTCCACTACCTGCTCTGCACTCCAGGTGAGGCAAAAAGCCCCATCTTTCCTCCACCCCAAGCTCCTATTCCAACTCTGATCTCCCTCCAAACAGGGCACTGGGTCCTCTGGTGGATGGCCCAGATCAGCACACAACAGCTCTGCTGGGAGGCTGGAGCTGTCCTAAGAGCACAGCATCCCCCTGACCCTGCTGCCATCCCAGCTGTGCTCCAGGGCAGGCTCTGGAGCTCGGCACGGCAGGAGGACCTCGCAGCTGCTGCTGGCTGCACGGCTCCTCACGCTGCTGCTGCAGCCAAACACCTGCAGGTCCTGTCCGTACAGGGAGCAGCTCTCAGAGCATCAGCAGGGCTGTGCCTGGAGCCTAAGCCAAAGGGCACCAAGCTGGGCTGGCACCAGAGAGAAGCAGGTTCAGATCTCTGCAAAGTGACCACTCCACAAGAGCACGTTTCCTTTGGGGCCACCTGGCAGCATTTCCAGCGGAAACCTTAAAGGACGCTGTGTGAACAAGCCCTGCACCAGGGACAAGTCAGTGGCACGCGCAGCCCTTCCTGCCCCACGCCTGCTGGGAAGGGCTGGCAGAGCTCCCATCAGGCACCCAAGGGAGTCACGCCAGCCTGGGGCAGCTGGGTTCCCATCAGTGGGAAGACTTCCAGGGCCCAGCCCTGGTTCAGGGGCACCCATCCCACAGCACCTTATCCCATCAACAGTTCCTCTGGGATCCCTAGCAAATATTTCCCCCTCAATGGTATTTATGGGGCTGAGCAGCATACACAGAGGGAGAGCAGAAATCCCTTCCCCAAGTACCAGTAGCACCACAACCAGAGAAGACGTGGGATGCAAACACGCACAAGGATCCCCAAGGCACCAAGCTGGGTTTGTGCTCAGTCTTTGGGGTTACACCAACAGCAAAGGGTTCTCAAGCACCCTCATTGGGTTCTGTTGCACACTGAGTAGCCTACACAGGGCAAGGCTGGCATACATACACAGAGCAAAGCCAGGTGGAAGAGCAGAATGCTGCTGTTCATCCCGCTGGAACGGGTACAGCAGAGCTCACAGCACCCAACTGGACCTAGGGAGCTGCAGCACAGCCCTTGGTCTCTGCACATCTCTGAGCATCCGTGCGCACAACCACTGGAGCCCCTCGAGGAGCTGCCCTGCCCCGGGGCTTCCCAGCAGCGAGCCGCCAAGCAGAGAGCAGGAACACTCGGTCCGGCCAAGTGTTTCCATTCCCCATGTCCTCCCTGCCCCCTTCCAAAACAGCACCAAAGCAAGAGACAGCTGCAGCTTATAAGGAATGTGAGGGGCCCTGCCAGGGACTCTGGCGAGGGAAACCAGGCCTTATAAGGCCATGGAGGCAGAATCAAATTTTTATCAATGAGTGCGAGCGCATGGAGACGCCCGGGGAGAGATAACGGCGCCCAGAGGCGGCCGGGGGCCGAGCGGCGCAGGAGGGAGCCCAGCCCCCAGCGGGGCCTCACCTTGGTCTCCCCGCTGCTGTCCGACTCGGACACCTGGTAGGTGAGGTCGGTCTCCTCGAAGCCCGTGGCGCTCATGCGCTGGTCGGTGGTGGGATCGGACCGCGGCGGCGAGTCGGGGGAGTTGAGGCACGTCTGGATGAGCGCCTTGCCCGTCTCGCTGGTGATCATGGGCTGCAGCTTGCGGGTGGCGAAGGTGTACACATGGCCCGTCTCGCTGGCCACCAGCAGCAGCACCTGGGTGCCCGTCAGCGTCGACAGCTCGTAGGCCTGCGGGGCGGCACGGGGCGTCACGGCCGCGCGGGGACCCCTCCGCGGGGGATGCTGCGGCGGGCGGGCGCCCCCTCCTCCCCGCGCCCCGCTCCGATCCCCCCCCCGGCCCCGCGCTTTCCCGCATCCGCCCCCCGCCCCGCGCTTCCGGGCCGCTCCCGGTGCCCCGGGGCCGCACCTTCTTCATGATGCCGGTCTTCCTCTTGCTGAAGGTGGTGTAGCGCCGCAGCTTGTTGTCGATGAACTCCATCTTGATCTTCACCCGGCCCCGCGTCTTCTTGCCGGGCTTGGCGCCGCTCACCGCCCCGCCGCCCGCTCCGCCGCTCCCGAACGCCGCCGTGGCCGCCGCCGCTCCTCCCGCCGCGGGCACCGCCACCGCCGCCGCCGCAGCCGCCGCCGCCGCCTCGGCCAGGCCGCGCTTGAGGCCGCGCCGCTCTCCGCCCAGCTCCTCCTCCTCCGCCGACTCCGAGTCGCCCTCGCTGCCGCTGTACAGCGCCTCCCGCTCCAGCCGGGCCCCGGGCGGCCCCGCCGCCGCCCCGCCGCCGCCGTTTGCCCCGCGCGGCACCGGCGAGCGGCCCAGGCCCGCGCCGCGGGCCAGCGCGGCGGCGGCGCCGTTCCCGGCCCCGGCCTGGCTCGGCAACATCGCGGCGGGTCGCGTCGGGCCGGGCCGGGTCAGGCCGGCCCCGCCATGGCCCCGCTCCGCGCTCACGGCCCCGCTCCGCCGCCCCCGCCGCGCCGCGCCGCCCCCATATAAAGCGATACAATGTTGCCTTTTATGGAGAAGCCGCTCCTTATATGGGGCGAGCCGGCGCCCCGCCGGGAGGCGCCACGCTATTGGCCGCCGGCAGCCCGGCGCCGCCGCCCATTGGCTGCCGCCCGGCGGCTGATTTGCATACGTTCCGACCGCTTTCGCGTCACCCGCGGATTGAAACATGCACGGCGCTCTTAAAGGGGCCGCGCGCCGCATGGACGGGGCGGGCTGCGCGGGGCGGGAGGGAGGGGAATGCGACTCATCGCCCCCCGCGCCCGCCTTCCCTGTCCCCGTAGCCAGGAGCTACTGTCCTCGGAGGGACCGCAGAGCCAGGCCGAGCCTCCAGCTACACGCTTTGCAGAGCGCTTCCCTTCCTCTGCTCAGAGTCAGGGAGAGCCATTGAGGCACAGGGAGGCTCTAGGCCACACGAGCATACACACGGAGTACCAAAACATCGTGTCTGCAGGACAGTGTACAGCCACCTCTGCCACCTCGGGAGGAGGGATGGGAGCTAGCTGCCTCCATGCAGGACTGCCTCCATCCAGCTGAATACCCAGACAGCTGTAGGAGCTCATCTAGTCCATCCCCAGCCCAGCCAGAGTGCTGCCATGCTGCCCGCAGGCCTTGTGGCACAGGGGTCTCTGCCCTCACCCCCAGCCCTCGCAGCCGCTTGCTCTTCTCTGGGTACAGCCTCCTCTGGAGCAATGTGGCAGCCGAAACAAACACCCCCCCTTGGCTTCCCCCCAGCCGTGCTCCTCCAGTGAGCACACATGCCATTTATAGCTCCCACAGGGTGCTGGGGCTCACATGCTTCCCATCACATGCCCTGGCTGCCCTGCCCCGGGGCCCAGTGCTGACCACACCTGGTGCAGGTGGCCCACGAAGGGCTGCTCCTCTGTACCATACGTGGTAGGCAGGTTCCCTGCTCAGCATGGGTGTGCAGACACCGCATGCACCAGAGCTGGGGTTCCCTTCATACCACTCTTCAGGCCTGGAGCTCTTGGGCTGAGGGGCGAGCCCCTCAGAGGCCTCAGGCCTGGTCTAAGGGATGTGCTCAGAGACATCTATGCTGAGGCTGGGTTGGGGTGGCAGTAACAGCCCCCTCCTAGGCCTCTCTAAATGGGAATGACAGGGAGACACAAATCAAGGCAAAGCCCTCAACAGCAGTCCCACAGTACCTGACAAGAGCAGGGTAAGCTAGGTGCTGGGCACAGTCCTCCTACAGCTGCTTGCATACCCACCAGGAGATAGGCTCAGAGCCAGGCTGGATAAGAGAGCTACAACACGTGCTAGCAGCCAGGCTAAATCAGCAGCACCTACACAGCAGACCAAAGGAAGCCTAGCAGCCTTGGTTTAAGCTTAAGTGCAGCTCCTGAGCCACTCCCCTGAGTGGGAGGTCCCAGGTGAGGCTGCTTTGAGCAATTTGGCCCCATTGGCTCCCCACAGGGCCTTAATGCACCCACCCAAGCACCACGGGGCAGTAGAAGAAAGCCGAGTGAGCGGTGGGGTGAGCCTGTGCCCCATGGCACTGCTCGTGGACCTCTGGGCGTGCAGGGGCTGAGGGCAGCTGGGGAACATTACAGCAACAACAGCTCTCAAGGGCATGTGGAGACGCAGGGCCCTGGAGATCCTTATGCTGCAGGCATTTGGCAGCTGGGACAAGGAGTGCCTGCTGCTTGCACTTCGTTCTGTGCCATACATGCTTGGGGTTGGGGTTGCTAGGTGGCCCCTTGCTGTAATGCAGCCAGCCATGCTTCTCTCCAGCCCTAGGTATAGCAGGCTGTCTTCCTTTCCCAAGGCTCTATGTTCCTTGCACTTGGGTTTGGGCAATGGGACCCCATCCCTGTCAGCTGTCCAAGTCCTCTCCTCCAGCAGGGGCTGGAGTGGGATGCTCCAACAGCCCGCTCCCCTGTGCTGCATTTAGCTAGGGCCCTATTTGTTCAGCCCGCTGTTTCCAATTAGTTTGGCCAACATCTGCCTTGTCCCCGAGGATACAGAGCTTTTTCATGACATCACTCCCAAAAATACACAGCCCCAGCCCCCAGTCTTTCTGCACCCTCTGGGTCTGGAGTTTGTCCTAGCTCTGGTGCCTTCCCATACGCACGTGGTGGGCAGGCACTGGAGCCCTCGCCATCTATCGGGGTGAGGCTGAGCACCCTATCCTGACACTGCTTCCCATAGCTCCAACTGCTCGTGTCTTAAACAAGGGCAGCAAGGCAGGATGCACACCAAAGGGGTGCTTACTGGATCTGACATACAGGCTCTGCTACGATCCACTGGAGAGGACTCCAAGGGGAAACTGAGGGCACATCCTGAGCCCTCCAGCCACAGCGGCTCCTGCTGTTGCGCTCAGTGCCAGCAGCTGCATTCAGGCCATTTGGAGGAGCTGTGGAGGCAAGGGGTCAGGATGCTGACTGCCAGATTCCCTCAGCTGGCTGCAGCCACATCTCAGCTCCCCATGGGCTTTGGTGTGCAGTGGGATGCGATAGGTCAGCTTGATGGTTGGACATGATGATTGTGAAGGTCTTTGACAACCTACACGACTCTAGCAAATTTCCAGAAGTGAACTCTTCTCATGCTCTGCATGAGCCTTCCCCCAGCCAACAGGGGATCCCACACACTGGACCATCGCTCCATTGATGGTCAAAGCATAGCCAACTTCAAGCAGGTTGCTCAGGGCCCATCCAGTCCAGGGCTGAGCATCTCTGGTGTTGGAGAGCTCACAGCTTCTCTGTGACTGTCCCAAACCCTCACTGCCACGGCACAGGGGACACATTTGTCATGCTGCAGGGACTGCCCCAGCACAGGGCTTCTCCTTGCCAAGAGATGCACAAGATGTAATGGCAGGAATCTCCTGCAGACCTGGGTTCCTGACCCCAGGAAGAAAAATCAAGCAGGCAGTGACAGCAGTGCCACCAAAGCCACCGAAAAAAGAGAGGAAGAAAAAAAAAAAAAAAAAAAAAAGCCTTCTTTATTGAGAGCAGCACATATAAACCCAACAAAACCCAACCATTCTTGGCTGCGGTACCCTCCGCTCAAGCAAACAAACTAACCCACTCTAGGCTGCGTTCCAGTAACAGAAATACTATGGTGGGGAGGAGGCAGCGTGCCGGGGAGGGGGGAGGAGGAGGAGAGCGCTGCCCCCAGGAGTCGTACAAAAAAAGGCACGGGGAAGGGATGTGGGGAAAGGTGGTGGAGCGTCTCCTTCATATGCCAGGCACTTCGGGTTCCTGATGGCGGGCCCATGCCCGCAGGCATGCCTAGCACAGACGGACGGACAGATATGCACGTGGCGAGCGGGGAGGGCGAGCCCGGTGCCAGCAGCCCACGGGCTTTTTGGACCCATGGAGGAGAGGGGTGTGTGAGGGGAGTACACTGGCTTGTGCTTTGAGTCCAGCAGCCGCTGGTGCCGTGTGTTGGGGTCAGGCTCAGCGAAGGCTGCGGGAGCGCTGAGGGCAGCCGCAGAGCCCCCGCCTGCCCCGCCGCATCCTTCCCCAGCAAGGTGCTCAGGCTTTGCTGTCAGCCGGGCTGTCCCCGAGGGCGGCTGCGAGCTCGCTGAAGGAGGGTCGGTCCTTGGGGCTGGGCGCCCAGCAGCGCTGCATCAGCTTGGCGAGGCGTGAAGGGCAGCCGTCGGGCTGCGGGAGCTTCGTCTTTCCTGACTGCAGACCTGGCAAAGAAGCAAAATCCAAGGGGATGTTTCCCCTCTACGGGGAGCGAGGAGCATCCACCACGCGGACCCTCAGCCCCGTGCCCATCACACGGCCTGGCTGGCCCCAAGAAAAGGACGGAGGCCAGAACACACGAGGCACACCGCATACCTGCTAGGACCTCATCATCCGCCAGCGGGGCGTACGGCATCTCCCCCTGCGTGAACACCTCCCACATGAGCACCCCGAAGGACCACACGTCTGACTTGGTGGAGAACTCGTCCTCCAGCACGGCTTCGGGCGGCATCCAGCGCAGCGGGATCCAGGCCTGGCGGAAGTGGTAGTACTCGCTGCCGGCAGGAGAGTCGCAGGTGGTGAGTGAGATGGGCACCACGCCGTACCCCCGCCCCCCGCCGGGATCCCGGCTGACCTGTTGTACACATCCTTGCTGAGACTCAGGGCTGAGACCTTGACCTGCCTCTGGGCGCTCACCAGGCAGTTCCTGGCCGCCAAGTCCCGGTGCACGAACCTGCCGTTGGAGAGGTGCTCCATCCCCAGGGCCACCTGCGTGCACAGAGACACCTGGCCCCAGCGAGACGTTGGCACAGGCAGCCCTCCCCAGCAGCCCCAGCGCTGTGGTGCTTTCAGAGCCACACGCTCACCTTGTGCTTGGTGCTGAGGGGCTGCGGCTTCAGGGACTCATCCTTGCTCTTGGAGATTCTCAGGAACTGCTTCAGGTCCCCCTAGGAGACAGACGGAAGCTCAGAGGCAATGCTCTACCAACGCTCATTGGTCCCCATAGTGTCTAGACATGGTGAGCTCACAGGGAGCCTTGTTTCATGGGCCATGGCCCTCCTGGTCCCTGTAGGGCAAGCTAGTATCTCCCTAAGGGCTAAGGTCATGGCAAGCAGGCCCGTGCTTCCAGAAGGTCATCCATGCTCCAAAGGGTCTTCTATCCCACCAGCCCTAGTCTCCCCTGACAACGATCCACATCAGGCTCAGGAGCTGCTGGCAGGACCCTTACCAAGTCCACATACTCCAGGACCATGTAGTGCGGCTCAGCCTCACGGCACAGCCCCAGCAGTCGCACCACGTTGGCATGGTTCAGCTTGCCAAACATCTCTGCCTCGCGCCTGAAGTCCAGCTGCAGCTGCTCATCCCTTGTCTGCAGGCTCTTCACCAGCACCAGCGTTTCGCCCTCGCCATCCTCTGCACCTTTTGCCTTGGCCAGGAAGACTTCACCAAATTCCCCCCTACCTG